GTGCCAGTTTCAGTCTAAATTCTTCAACCAACAAAGACAACTTATTTTGGGTCTTTGAAACTTCTAGAGGAAATTACATTGTTACATCTTGGTAAGGAAATTATTATTTGATGTAAATATCCAAACAAGGATAATTTTGTAAAAAAAGATTCAAATATAAAGTCAGCTATAATTATTCCTTTAATAGGAAAAGATTATAAAGTCAGCTACGTACATTATGTTGCGGTTAAGGGAGAGTAATTTCGTTTCATTACGATATTATGATACCACGCTGAACTCAAATGTATTGGTGAAGCTGGTGCATTAATTTGTGCTCTGATGGTGGTGTCTGTATCAAGAAGGGTTACTCCTTTACGTTTCAGCTACAAACGTGTTTACCGCTGAATACCATTTGATTGAGTTAAAAGGCTGTGGCCCAAAAGGCATCTTGTAAGGTTGAGTATTATTAACGAAGGGAACATGAAAAACTTTCTTAACTTATGCACTCAACCATAGTGCCAATGCCACCGCATTGACAAATGCCACAAGAGTGTGTCTCTTCCATCTTTCTCTCTAAGCAGCCATGACAGCCATGTTCTGATAACTGATAAGTCTCGATCGCAAGAGACACGCTTGTGAAAACCACTCAATCAATACTAGAATTGGCGTTTGGGACTTTTCATAGAGTTGTTCCGATACGCTGATAAATATTTTATCTCGACACATTACCGAAGAGAGCGACCATCATTGAAAAAAACTTATGGCAGCTTATCTAGATATAATAAATGGACACTGGGAAGCTTCAGTTTAAGTTGGCCGATCGTCGTTACTTTTAATTACTTGATAAATGTGCACTGAACATCACTGAAACAGTGAAATCGAGAAATTTCAGAGGCTGTTTCCTTGAAATGCAATGGAGGTGTTTTCATTCCGCCCCCAAGATTCCAGCAACAACTCTCCTAACTTTCTTCTATTTAACTTATTCAACCTTTCAGTCTGTTTGTCGAATCCAACAAGGTCCTTCATTGATGTTCTTCAAATGATTGACCAAAAGCTTAATTCGATACGGTGTTTGCGCTAACAACCTACACAAAAGAATTAAGTCTCATCTCGCGAATATTGTCGAGCCGCTTCAATCATCGTGAACAGATGGAAATCGATTTGCATGATTAGATTGCAGATTACTTGACAGGGCTAGATGATTTTTGCTTTATTGGCACTTGCACTTTCAAAACGTCATACTAAAATTACTGGAGCTTATTCATAACATGTTCATTATATGTCTACGAGCTGAAGTATTCATTCTGACTACCTCTTTATGAGGATTTGTTTAAAATTCAAACGATAGAAATATATAATTCATAATGTTGATCGTCAACATCCTTTTTCTTCAACTTTCATTAGACAAGTCAAAACTTTCGCTGCATGCAGATGGCGGGAGTATTGTTTCTTCTTTGTGAGCACCTTCACTTTCAAAACATTATAATAAAAAACTGG